ATGGATAATATCCAAAAAATAAGCGGCAAATTACGTATGGATTTCAAATTTTTGTAGGTCAAATGATAAAAAGGATACCTCAATGATATGTGTCGATCCATAAGCAATACCAAAAAAGAAAAAACTCCTGCCTTCGAAGACGATTTTAACATTATCAACTCGAAATGAGATATGTAATTCATCCAACTTTGGTCCAGAGTGTAGCGGGAATAAAATTCTACACGAATCTTTTCGAATAGCCAAATGGTATAAAAGACGCTATATAGTAGACTAAATTTTATCATATATTTAAGGCATATATCGCTGAGGGAAACTTTGGGCAACTTTTTAAGGAATATGTATCCTATCGTATTTCCTACGAATCCCAAGATTAAAAGAATGGGTGCTATCACTAGTTTATACAAGTTATTGAAGGTCCACATAAATTTATGAGGCGGAAAGCAAAGCGGAGTATTTTTCATGATGGATATAGGTGAAACATTAAAATATGATTCCCCGGTTATTATTGTCAAATTCGAGCCGGAAATTACAAGCAATTGAGGGATGGCATTATCATTGAGAATCATTGTATATACTATTTTATATTTGCAATCAAAGAAACAGTATTACAATATGTAATTAATTAATGGGGAAATGTCAATTGCAATTTTAATTAACAAGTTACCTGCGAAATTCTATGTTAGTCAACTAATTGATTATATTGAAAAGAAAATTGTTTTAAATTATATATATTTGGATTGATAAATTTTCTTAATATATACTAATACAAAAGGCTTATATCGATCTAATAATTTCCAATAAAGAAAAAGAAGAATAATATAAATCCTTATTTGCGCAGTACCTTGATATTTTAAATTTTATCTTTTGTTAAGAATAAGGATTCAACGATGTTATTAAAATATTTATATATATTATTTTTTTTTATAAATAATTAAGAATTGGCATGTTATAACAAATTTAAATTATACTATTAAAATTTACAAAATCTGGAGGAGGGAAGAAGTGTAACCTTTTTATATGAAGAACTTCTTTCCCTAATATTTGTTGATTAATAAAATGTCGTTTAAAAAAAACTAATTTAGAAAAGATCTTTATTTTGAAAAATTTGGTATCGCTAAATAATTTCTCGAGATAAAAACAAATTATATCCAATGGATTTTCTTTTCTATAATAAAAAAAAGAACAATATGTGAAAACGCAAAAAAAACGTTTCCAAAATATGAAACTAATTTAAAAAATTATATAAAATGCAAAAAAAAAATAAATCCTTAATTTGGAAGAACTAATAAAGAATATAAGGATACTGATCTTGTAAAGTGTAATAAAGTAATCACTATGAATTAAAAAGGGGATCAAATAAATCCTATATACTCACCTGCCAAAAGGCCGTACAATTTGAAGAATTTATTTCGAAATTCGAAAATTCCATAAACTGGAATAAAAATTTAACACCGGATGTGGACAGATCCTTGTATAAAACCGGTTTCGGTTAAAAATGTTAAAAAGTGGTTTGGCCAAGGTGTAACGTGACCAAGTAAGATTTCGAAATCGTAGAATAAAAATCACACGATATAAATGGCTTGAAATTTCTTTAGATTAACCGCTTAAAATACTTTGGGGGCCATTTTATAATTTTAAAATATCGCGGCTATAGTCGATTTCCAAAAACTACGGATAATTTTATCCTTAGGCTTAAAAATTTTCCGAAAAATAATACATTCCATTTTGGGGGTAATTTAGAAAATTGTTGGCATTATTTACTAAATTAAACGCTTCATTCATAAAAATTATTTTCGTACACTATTCTTTTGCAGATTCAAAGATAGATGAATTAAAGAATCTGCATGGACCTAATTTTTCAAGTCCGGCTTAAAATTAAAAAAAAAATTTGTCCTGTCTTATAGCGGACGAATTTTTATTTTCATTTGTCCTGAAAAGGTCGTCCAAAATAAAAATTATTTATCGCGGCCCGGCCGCCAGAATTTAATTTATTTTTATTGTTTTTTTTTATATATAAATATAATAGAGTCTACCGTGCTCATTTTGCCCTAAATGTATAAGGTTAAAAAGTGGAAATTGAATAGCAAATACCCAAAATAGTAAATGTAATAATAAATTAGAAAAATTCGATAGTTAATAAGTAATATTACTAGCAGATTAGCAAAATTATGATTCACCTAATAGAGCCTAAAGACCAAATTTATTAGGAAATATTCAAATTATGTAATAAAGGAGCAAATGTAATTATAAATTAGAAAATACAAGCAAATTAGCTACATGACGTTTGGCCCAAAGTGATAAAAAACCTAATTTAATAATATATATCATAATAAATAATAAATGAGCAAGTAATAGTAGATTAGAAAATTTGATATTAATTGACCAAGAATCAAATTGGTAAAATGCCGCTTCACCTAAAAGTGCTTAAAAATTAAAATTTATTAGCAAATACTCAAATTATATTTTGGATATTTTTAGGCGAAATGATTATAGTAAAAGGTATTTCTATAGGTGACACCCCATCATATAATATATATTAGATATTGTATTATTATATGCAAAAGATATATGGATCTTAGTTTCCTACAAACTAATAAAATTTTTAGAATTAATATTTTAAAAATAAATAAATAGATTGGCAACTTATTTACAGTAATCTTATAATATATTGATTTTAATTCGCAAAATTGAATCGTAATATTTCAAAATTTAAACCCGGTCTCGATTTGGCCGAGATTAAACCTGTTTTTTTAAAAAAAAATTAGATCCAGCGTTAAACAGTTTTGGGCTTGATCTAGATTAGGCTCACTTTTGCAGATCTCTAATCTAATTAATATTAATAATAACATTCTAATTAATTTATCACGTAGACTAAGTTTCACCCATCCTATAAAATATTTTAGTTAAAATATAAAATTAGCCACTGAAAAGTATATTAATTGTCTTAATATTAATTATTTATATTTATAGTGAATAATATTACATATCTATTAATTATTAGTGTTGATATGTCACGTTTTTTAAAAAAATAATAATATAAAATAAATCTTATTTTAGCTGTAAAATAACTACTTTAGGACTGATTTTTATTATTGTTTGACTTAATAATTTGATATATTTATTTATTAACACTGCGAGCGACTGATTTAAGATGATTACTTTAAAATGATTATTCTTTAATTTCATACAAAACGATGAATTGCTGATAATGAGCAGTATAATATGTAATTCATATTTTAATTCACGCGGAATATTATATATAAAAGATTTTAAATTTAAATGAATTGATTAAATCAAAACATGATTCCTAGTTATTTGATCTACGATATCCACTCTAATATTTTAATTAGACTTATTAACTATACTATTAAAAATTATATATATTTATAATACTAAATATTCTTATATTTGATTAACAATAAAATTTTTAAGAATTTTTATCTAGATATTCTTGCTATAAGTAAAAACATAATTATCAGTGCTGAATAAGCACAAATGATCTAAAATTAAATATATTTTATATAATTTTTATATTAAAATAGAAAATAATAACTATAAAGTAAAATATAAGGTATGAGATAAAATTTTAAATAATTTGGATGAACTTTTCATTTAAGCTAATAAGCTAATAATATCGAGAATTTTGATATATATAATATATAGAGGATATATAGAGGCAAGACGACGATACTTTAAATTTATAAGTGTCGTCGATATCTTTTATATAGATAAAATATATTGGATACATTATTGTAAATGCATTACTAATAATATTATATCAATAAAGATATTTGATATTATAATTTTAGTTGATATATAACATCATTTTATATTTAGTAGTTAATAAGATACATAGTGGTATTTAATTTTTAAACATAATATTGCATTAATTATGCTATATTTTTACATTAATTTTTAAGGATACTTTATTTAATCACTTCAAATGAATTTCAACATTAATAATTTTAAAGGTTTTCATGGAATTATGTATTATAATATTAATAATTATAAAAATTTAATTCATTAATTTTATATGAATCGCTCTAATACATAGGGGGCTATCCGGATTTTGATGCGTAAAATTCATTTTCAATCGTTAGACCTGCCGGTTTCTAAAAAATTTAGGAGTTCTTCTGGTTCAAAAATATACTAATGAATTTACCTTCTCTCCTATCGTTTCCTCTTAGCATTACTTTAATATATTTAATAAATCGATTTGCATTAGGATGTAAATTTAGCGAAGCCTACAAAGTTAGGTAATATTAAGTTATTGAAACAGATTTGAAGCTGATAATAACACCATGTTGCCAAATCCTTGAAATAAATGTTAATATTTGTTAAACGCTCACCTGAATTTTAATTATATTGTTTTTATAATAAAGTGATATTTAAAGACAAAGGCAATTTATCTTTGGAAAATAAATGTATGAATCTTATAATAGTGCTTATTTGTAATATTTACTACAATAAGCAGATCTGAGTTCGAACCTTAACATAATCAATCCTTTCTCTAGGTTATATTTAGTAAAACAAATATTGATATCCAGAGACTTCGGTGAATAAACTTATCACGCAGATCCGTAAATACTTATCATCCTAATTTTAGTAAGATTGTAGTTATTAAAAAATGAATATTACAGTCAGAATCGGAACAAAGCCTGAAAACCTCAGAACTGAGAAAATTATAAGAAAACTAGGAACCCTTTTTTATATTAAAACCAGAACAGAAAAAATAGAACTTATTTTAAAATTTAGCAGAAGTATAAATAATTTGTGTTGTAGCAAATATTTCAAAATTTCTATTTGTTGTTAAAATTTGATCGCTTACTGAAACTTTTTAAAATGATCTTTTAGAACCAATTTTTAAGAATATTCATAACTGTACTAGAGTCTTTAGTTTAAACTCTACAACATGACTAGCTTTTCAACTTGGCTTAATATATTATGAATATCTGTAGTAACTAGCACTACTTAGATATTAAATTGTACAATATTTTTATTCCTTCATTCATAAATTTAAAATTCAATTCCAATGGAGTAATTGCCAATCTTCCTTTAAATCAATTATGCCATTTTCCTGTAATTATTTGATTTATTCATTAATTTTTATAACTACCTTATTCCTTAGTATTTATTCAAAAAAACATGTTAATAATGCCTTGCTTAATATTTGTTTAAGTGGTAAAAACCATAAAAATATTCCAAGCTCAGAGCCTTCCACTGAAGGCCTTGTGGGAGAATGCAAAAGATGGTCATCCAGAAATTGTTGTCTGAAAAATACTACTAAATTAATTAATGAAAAAGTTCCCTGGTATGGATTTAACGTTAATCATTGCAATCAAACAAAAAATATTTCTGAAAAATGTCATAGACATTTTATTAGAGATGCTTGCTTTTTTGAATGTTCTCCCAATATTGGACCTTGGATTAAAAAAATAGAGGGTAAAAAATTTGCATCTGAAAAGTTTTTTGATGTACCACTTTGTGCTGAAGATTGTGAAAATTGGTGGGAAGATTGTAAAGAAGAATATACTTGTAGTGATAATTGGTATCAAGGCTTCAATTGGATAAATGGAACCAATTATTGTTCAAGTGCTAATGGTTTAGTGAATAATTGCCAAAGAATTGCAGATATTTTTAAAAATTCTCAGGGATTTTGTGAAAACATATGGAATTATTCATTCAAATACATTCCTCATTTATCCAAAAAACCATGCTTTAAATTAAATTTTGATGGTAAAGCTGGTAATCCTAATGAAAAGGTTGCATATGATTATGTATATAATCATGCATTTGTTCAACACATAAATTATAATTACCTTTACTTTATATTCTTTAGTTTTATTATATTATATTGATTCAAATTTTTCTTGCATAATTAAAATCATGTGATGTTATTATTTTGATCCTAGCTCTATTAAATTTACAAAAATGAATTTATTCAAATAATAAACCTAATTAATTTTGAATGTATAATATTATTTAATACTATTTTTCTTTTTAAAAATATGTTTGTCATCAGAGTGGATAGAGTAGAAAAATACATTTTGCAAAAGCCACCTTATGACTAAAATACATGCTCCCTATCAAAAAAACGTTAAATAAATAATATTTAAAATCATGTTTGGCATTTAGAAAATATTTTTTAAATTTAAAAAAATTGGTAATAATTATATTTAAAAAAATAGTTTTTTTTACATGACTAAAATATGCACTCTCAATAAATATGCAGAATTATATATAGCTCATAAGAATTCAGAAAATGTTAATATTAATTTTTATATAACTTAAAAGCACATCTTTTTTTACTAAACAATGTGCTCTCGGTAGATATATGCTTTTTAAAAAAAATACAGAATCATATTTAGCTCATTAAAAGGCTTTAGAAAATTTTAATATTTAGTTTATAAATTTTTTATAATAGTGGTCTTTTGTAAAAACATTTTTTGACTAAATTACAGGCTCTAGGTAAATATACGCATTTTTAAAAATAATAGAAGCAGCATCATGTTTAGTTCTTTGAGGGATTCAGATGTATTCATTTTTTTAAAAAATTTTTTAATTATTGAAACTTTTTTTATTTTTGACTTAATTTTTTCCAATCATGCTATAAATCCATCCGAACCCTATTTATATATGTACTAAGTTTTAAAAAAGATAATACACAACTGAAAATTTTGAGGAAGTTTATAATATTTTTTGCTAAATCTTAACAATTTTTATCTTAATTTTCTCAAAGAAAACACATTAAAAAAATTTCAATCATGATTCTGCATAAATAGCGTATATTTACCGAGAACGTGTAAGAGCACATAATTTAGTAAAAAAAATATGTTTTCTCAAAAGCCCACTAAGTTGTAAAAAAATTTAATATTAACATTTTCTCAATTCTTTAATGAGCCATATATGATTCTGCCTTCATTTTTTTATAAATATTGCATATTTATTGAGATCGCTTATGGGGGCGAGTAGGAGCACGTATTTTAGTCATGTAAAATATATATTTTCTAAATCATCTTATAAAGCTAAACACGATTATTTTGGTAGGGAGCGCGTAGTTTTCTAGGGCGTATTTTAGTCATGCCCAGCTTAGAGCAATCGAGCAAAATAAAATTCCAACTATTTAAAAATGACCCTTTTTTCATATTTATTTTCTAATTTATATTCAATTTTAATAAATTGATAACAAATTAGAATCAGCAATTAAAGTTATAAAATTTTCTGCCATTTTAAGATAATTAATAAAAGTTTCAAGAATGATAAAGTGAGATGTTTTTGGAAAACCATGGATATCCTGGACAAAAAACATTAATTGTAAAAGCATCAGATAAAATTACCCCAATTTCAGAAAAATTTAAATGCTTAAAAAAGTGAGAATTTTAAAAATTAACCATATTTTAAGTATTTAAATAAATTTTCAAAATTAAAGGTCTGGATCTTTCTTCCTGTCATTCGTATTTTATGCAAGACAAAATATGTATAATCAGGTAAACAATTTGTGTACCCACATTACTTTAAAAATAATAATTAATTCTTTTTACTATGTATCAGTCATAGAGACGTAACTTAAATAATATTGAGTTTCAAATACTTTAATATATATATCAAATATTTTATTTATAAATATCTTAAAATAAGAAATATTTCTTATATTACCTTCAGCCGTAGTTTAACCCAAACCAATATTAACCAGTTATTAATTGATAAATCAAACCTGAACCATTAAACAAATTAGTCACTCTAATCTCTAAAAATGTTTGCGAACTGAGTTGAACCTTTTGATATTTTAACTTTTTTAAAGATGATTATGACTGATAAATTAGTAATTATATTTAGATATTTTTGTATATTACTATTTGACGTTCGTCAAAAATAAATGGATTATTTTTTTCAAAACAACGAACTTCGTTCACGAACGAACATTAGTAATAATCTTAATACGAAAAAAGAGTTATTTTAGCAAAAGTAAACGTAATTTCAAGTTACAAATTTATTAAATGCATTAATAAAATAAATTAAGATTAATTAAATAAATTATCTCTAGTAAATTGGAAAAGAATATTTTAAATAATAGAGGAAAAACAAAACATAATTGGGAGAAATCTACTTTAAATCTCTTTCAAAATACTATTTTTATTTTGAAGATTTCAAATTCATTCACCAGCTCTTCGTTCATAACCACCCACTCAACAGTTAAAGGTTTTTTAAACGAATCGAATATTCATTCCAAATAGTTCGAATAATAACGAATACGATTAGTAAATTATTTGGTTTGTTCGTAGTTTAAAAAGTTCTTTGATTCGAATAACGAGTAAATAGAATTAGTTGTCATTTCTCTTAGTTGGAACTAATTTTCTGTTAAAAAAAACTCTTGTCTTTTTTAAAAAAGAAACAATAACCTTGCATTCACTTAGCGCGAATTTCGTGGCGTCATCGCCGAGAATTCGGGCGAACTGTTAATGAGTGGGCATAAATTAGCCTTATATAACATAAAATTAATATGCATATTAATTTCGTTAAGAACTAGAATTTTATGTTTTCAAATTAGATGCCCAACAAAAGATTCTCACAAATACATTTTCGTATGTGTTATTTTATAATAATATTTGAAAAATCGAATTATAATTCGAATCCAATAAAAATTAGTAAATTATTATTCGCTAAATAAATCGAATACGAATAATGCACTATTCGATTGGTATTCCTTTACCAATTACTTACAGATAATTTAAATTTTATAGTTAAATATAAAATCAATTTTGACTTGTTAAAGCCAATTTTTTTTTATATATAACCACCCTAAAAAAAATGTGTTTATTTACTTTAAAAAGGTAAAATTAAAAATACAGATATAATTTTTAAAAAATATCTAAAATTCAACTTCTTTACATGTTTAATGCCAATTTTTTTTTTTTTATTAACTGTGTTTAATTACTCGACTAGCTATATAAATATATATAAAATAAAAATTTCTTATTAATTTTCTTTAAAAATTAACAGGCAATATCTTATATTTTAAAAAAGTCGAGGGGGGGGGGAGGGTGGAGACGATATAGCCTTGAGCTATTTATATTGTGTTCAGAGCTTTATTTACATTTTAAACCATAATATTATATTTTGGCGTATACTTATATATTTTAATCAAAATGCTAAGCTTTTGTATATTTATATTTTCTATGTTTTTTTAATAATAATTTAATTTAATACTTATAAATCTTGGAATGTATTTTAAGAAAAAATTTAAATATAATAAACTATAAAAATAAAAATTATACAATGGTCTTAGTGTTGTTAAATGGCTTAATTTACGCCGATTTTTAAAAACATCTAACTCTCTATTTTAGCCAGAAAAATAATACCTAATACTTGAGATTTCGCTAATAAATGTCCAAATCTTTGTTCCACCTATAAGCAAAATCATTAGGTTTGCCTTAAAATTTTTTGGATAAATATTGATTTGGCTGTTTTTAAAAATCGTCTCAAATCGAACCTTTTAACAATACTACAATATTTAATTATTTTTATAAAGAGAAACCATGAAAAAAAAATTTCCAGTCTAGCCATGTTTGCAAAGTTTTTACTTTTGTGGCTTAGGGAGATTTTAATAGTTTTAAAATATTTGGGCGAAGAATGGCCATTTCTTGTATCTACTATTGGGCTAAAAAAGAAAATAATAAAGATTGGTTTTTGCCCAAAGTTAAAGATTCGACACAAGTATAATCCCAGAATAAATATTTTCTATAACATTAAATATGATGGGTGTAGTTAAGTTAGAAGTCTGCAACGGAAAGAAGGAAGGGGTGTTAGTCCCGCACTCATCCATACTATGCGCTGGCGGGTTAAAAATATTTTTAAAATAATGGACCGATGGGTGGGTAGGTGAATTTGAAATATTTTTCAGGCGAAACGAACAGCTTGCTTTATATTGATTAAAAACCAATCCTTTATTTCACAATATTGCATATTTTATGTTTATTAAGTTAAAAACTGATTATAATAAAATTATCAATCGAAGGGTTTCAAAATCAAGTGGATTTATCCCATTGCAGACATTGAAATATAAGTTTTTGTGAACTATATTAATTCTTTTTTTTTAATTTAAAAATTGGGTTACAAATTTCACCGAAACCAAATAGAGGCTAAGGCTTGGGCTTTCTCCTAGAGGGTCAGTATATTGCATATTTCTATTTTTTATTATTGATATATGAAAACAAAACCTTTATTAATGTCAGAGAGGATTATTATTACATTCTTTAATAGTTAAGTTTTTATTTGACTAATATACAAATGTTAGGGCAATTATATAATATAAATGATTAATCATTTCAAACTTATGAATTATCATTCCTTATCAGTTATTTGTCATGAATTTTTATTTAACGTTGGTACATATGATCATCTTTGTTTGATCGAAAAAATTCTTTAAATAGTTCTTTTGAGGGTAGGTTTGATAAGGGATTTTATCTCTCTTCCAAATGGACAGGTTGTTGAAATGACAAATGAGCAGGAATATTGATTTTTATTTCTCACCAATTCTTAATAGGTCATAGAGAGGGGGTAAAAATATTTATGCGATGTAAAATCCCAATATAGAAATTAATCTTTATAATTACACAAAATAAAAGACATATGTTATATGTCGTTTAGTTTCAATAAATAAATTCAAATATTTTTGTTTTACTTAAAAATTTCAATATAAAATTGATAAATTTAGATATATTTGAAAAAATTTCCAATATAATAATATCTAGACTGACGATGCATTCATTAAAAGTGCACATCAATGAAAAACAGTTGAGGATGATATTTTGGTTGCCCATATCATTATTACAAATTTTAAACACGAAAGGCCAATTATGCAAACATTATTAGGGAATTGCCTGATCATCGAGATAATAAGGAAGCAAGTTATCAATTTATAGTAGTTTTTAACATGAGAATAATTACTATATGGATTACCAAAGTGGCGGGTCCAGCTGATTTGCATTCAACGACGCTTTCCAATGCATTATTATGAATGCATCGTCAGTCTAGGTAATATTATATGTCATTGGGAGTACCTAACCCTGCATTCAGAGTTAGCGAATTCGTGGCGAATTATATAAAAATAAATGTAAAAAATTCACACTAACTCTAAGTGCAGAATAAAAGATTCAATATTATGGGGGGGGGGGGTGTAAAATCCAGAATTTCCCTAAAAAAATTTCCCTCAGGAAAATTTTGGCTGCGCTATGACAAGGTAAAAAAGTACAAAACGGGCAATTCAAAGAAATCAAATTTGATTTAAATTCGAATTGTAATTTTAACAATTTATCATTAATTATATAATAAAAATGAAGATGCGAATACTTTTTAAAAATTGGTAGATACTTCTGAAAATATGAAAAAGATACAAATATTCATGATACCGACAAAACTTTTCATTTTGATTCTCATTTTTTTTTGTATGATGAATGAATTTTTTTTTGTTATTAAAATAAAACTTTCTATTTTTTAAAATTATTTAGAAAATTTCTAAAATAAATTATATTTTCAAATTGAACTATTTTAAGTAATTTTTTTAATGTAATCCAACATCCCCTTATGGAGAAACTGTGACAATCAATACATCTTTGGCTCTCCTAAAGTTAACTCTAAATTTAAAACTTTAGTATCGTAATCAAAGATGAAAAAATGATATCTATAATTGTTGCAAAAAATACGAATTCATAAATTTAATTTTTTTTTAAAACAAAAAAAAATAGAATAAATTGTTAAAATTAAACTCTATAAATTATGAGCAAAATTATTATTAATGATAATGTTAAATCAGAATATAACAAGGAGTCAAATTCTTCTTGGATCATGACAAAGCCCGTAGGATACATATCGCTACATTTAAAAAAGTGCCGGGTTTATCATTTGGTGGAACTTTACCAAAATTTGAGCAAAAATTTGGAGAAGATAAGAATAGAGGTAACTGTAAAGCAACACGAAAAAGGTACTTCAAAATGCTTTGAGTACTCGTGTTACGGTGGGTGGATCTATAATTCTGACAGGAATAAAGCTGCTCCCAAGAAAAGGCAAAATTTTTATTTCGAAATCGAACAAATGCTCATGTTGCCAATTCAGGTCGGTTACTTCAAAGGCGAGAATAATCTGTCAACGCTCAACGAAATTAGCATAACCTTAAAAATCGTTACTTGTATGCCTTCGGCGATGCACAAAAGAATTTTATTGGCAGCCGGTTCTACTCCTATCACTATCGGTCAAATCGATCAAACTGATTCTCCTAATGGGAGCTTCGGCATTGAAAAATCGAGTGACGAAATGGGCAAAAACTTGACTTCCAATCTAATTACCGAAACAACTATGATGGGAATTAATATCGCGGGGCAAGACACTAATGCCTTGATCATAGGAGAAATTGTTTTAGAACCTGCTCTTATTGGCAGGCTTTTCGGAGAAAACATCGTAAACGATGAATGCCTCTTAGCCAAATTGGGCAAAAGGGTATCAGCTTTCTTAGATCTAGATATGGTATTCATTTACGGATCATTGGGTTGTGGTCATTCTAATTATTTAATTAGACCATCGGATATCAAATCTCAAAAAAACAGTAGCGTTTCTAAAGACGAGCGTTGTATGATCTCTTTCTTCCCAGGTGCCGAAATCCCGAAGGACAGAAAATGCCCTGAAAGTGGGTTGTATTTACCTAAACTTACGGAACGAAACAAGATTAGTTCCAAAGGTAAAATTATAACACAATATATTTTGTTAAAATTAAATGTTGACGTTAGTTTTAAATATTTATTTTGAATCATATTTTTAAGATCCAGAGATGACGGAAAAAATGAAATCTAATTACCCTTTGATTTATAAAAAATTAAACAAATGGACAGGGAAAGGATGGAACGAATACAAAAAATGTCAATCAAGGGCAGAACGCTTAAATTACCTGAACGCATTGGCGATTTAATATTTTTTTCTTTATACATAGGCTATTTTTTGTAGTAATAATTCTGAATAAAATAATATTTAGCACTAATTGAGTATTTTCTACATATGTGTCATAATTTTTTTTTTTAAAAAGGGGGCATCACTGATTGTGGATAATTGAGACTCTTATTTACAAACACGTTTCGCTGTATTTGTCTTTAGGTTTATTATTTACTCATTTATTTCAGAGTTTTTTTATCATGGTTTTTCTGAAAGTAGATAAGCCATGTCTACCTGGAATCTACAAGCAGCTTACATTTGACGCAGGAATGAGGTTGTACAATGAGAAACCCTGTAACAAAAACCAATGACAACTCTCAATTGGTTCATTTGATAAGAGATTGCCAAGATGGTAAGATTAGGGAGTGTTTCCAATAATTTGTGCCCTCCGATCTTGTTGTCACCCTGTAAAAATCGAACATCTTGTAAACTCGAAATAGAATATCATATCACGACATCACAATCACATAATACTTCATTAAATTTTATTATGTTCGCTTTATTTCATGTTTATTTGAAGGCAAAAAACTGTGTCATTCATATATTTTAATATCTAAATGAGTGAACTAGTGCGGTATTGTAACGCATCACAAAAGTGGCATCATTCTTCTTACCCAAAGCATATGTAATATGTTATTTTTTACAATGCTACTTTTAAATTTTATTATTATATTTTAATCATTTTATTTTATTAATTTAATGTTTAGGTTTAGGTGTAATATTTATATTCAATAAATTCTGAAATATAAAACCGTTTTAAAACACGCATATTTTATTCCAATTCTTCCAGTTGTTATTTATTTTTATTTGGTCTAGATCTCTTAAATTTTATTCAAGAGTAATGCTACTGAGCATAACATTAATTTTGAATTATCTTCATCATTATCTTAAAGGCCAAATGAAGAATGGAAACTTTTTCTTTTTTGAGAAATTATATTGATAAAAAAAATAAAACATCTATCCAAGAATTTAATCCCCATAAAGAAAAGGAGACCTATTTAGTGAAGATATGGTATATGGTCTGATGACTCCGATGATAAACTGTATAGATTGCTTCAAGAATAAAGATGCATCTTTGGAAAACCTTAAACTATTTTCAAAAATATGAAACCTTGTTTTACTAAATAAAATATAATGCACTAAAACCTTTTGTAGTTGTTGGCGTAATTGATTGAAGAATTGATAAGTAAGGAACTACCTATAAACGCAGATCGGATATTTAGAACTTCTATAATCTTCGTTCGGTTATTATGCCGATTTTAGCAAATTTTTTTCTTGTTTTTTCTACATTTTTTCCTTTAAATCATCTTTACCAAACAAATTAAAATAAAATATAAAAATTAAGCAAGGTTTAGTATATGTTTTCAGGATTCTTATTTCCGAAAGCTTACGTGATACGTGATATTAAGTGCACAAGCCCTAAACATCATATATATCATATATATATAACAGAGCAACGCTTGGTTCTCTCATGAAAAGCCCGTCAAACTGGGAAAAGGAATATAATTAAGAGGACCATCCACGTTTGTTGGGCAGGCCACAGTTACCTGTGCGCGCAGGAGGCAAAGTCTCTTACATAAACCCCATGGGAAGTAAGAGGAGAGGTAAAGAGCCCATGCCCGATTAAATAAAAAAAGCAATTATGGAAGGGTAATATTGGCTATATTAATTAGTGTTGCGAGAAAACCTAGAAATGAATATGATTATATAAAATAAAATAAATACACGTATATATACAGTACTTACTATCACTTATTATTATCTCATCTTGAAATCTTTCTTTAAAGATAGAGACAACATCTTTAAAGATAGAGAACATAAGACACATTACTATTTACTAATTTACAACTCACCTTAAAATCTCTCTTTAAAAATAGACAAATATACATAACATACGATTGGCTGCGAGAATATATAAACTAGGGCGATGAATATGAATAACGCTGGATATGAATAATAAGGAATTTATATTCTAAAATAATATTTAAATAATATATAAAGACTCACATATAGAAATATAAAATCGAATAACCATCTAAGCGAGTATAAACGTTTTGTTTAAGTGTAGATAGGAAATGTTGCAAACTCCGAAAATTAAAAATGAAATAATAGAAGAGTTGAAATAATTTTAAGTAGTTTATTAATGGAGCCTTTGTTATTATTTAAGTGAGTAAAATGAGCTAGACTTATATTCATATTTATAATGTCCAATATAGTTTTGTTTAACTAAGTCTTATAGTTACAGTAACTTTTGTTTTTATATATTAAAAGCCAACTAAGGGCTTCATGAGCCAGGTTATTTTCCGCATTTCTCAAAATATGCGAGAAGAGTATGTTTTGATAATCTCCATAAACAAACGGTCGATATAATTCTGGGATATATATAGCCGTTAACTAGCTTCAGACATCTGTTAACAAAAACCTAAAGCTTTTAGTTTGTGTTTTGTTAACATCCCATGTATCACTTCTGTACAGAAGAATGGGGATGATCTTTGAATTGAACATCGGAAGTCTACCCTTCGCCGATATTTCTCTAGCCGTCCATAGTTTGAAATATTTGTAAAAACAGATTTTGCGTGTTTCAGTCTTATTTCTACTTCATTTTTTATGTGACCTTTATTATCAAATCACAAGGTATTAACCAATCTCCTTCCTAACAGTTCTATGGTGTGATGTGATTAGAATCTATCTCTGCCCATGGAGAAGGCATGATAACAGTTTTACTTACTTGATGTTTTTCCGGATTTAGTGATAGTATGTCATCATCATAGGAAATTATGCTATGCTTCAAGTGGAGGTTATCTTGACAGGATAAACTTGATAAATTGAAAGTCCCCAGCGCATCTGCAATAATTTTATTCATAATTATATTAAATAGTATTGGCGTCAAAACATATCCTTGCTTAACGCCTTTATGTACCATAAAAGATGGAGATTGAATATTGTTCATTTTAAAAGTAGACAATAACGAGCCGTAATTATTGCTAAGAATTTTTTTTATAATATTCGGTTCCACGCCACTGTAAATTAGGATTTTCCATAGAGATTCATGTTTAATACAATCAAAAGCCTTCCTGATATCTACGAAGATAAAGAGTAGAAGTTGTTTATATCTGTAACTTTTCTGCGTGGTAATATTTAAAGCTAAAATCGGCTGCAAAATATTTCTGCCAGGTCTATAAGCAAAAATATTATTGGATAACAAGTGTCTCATAGAAATTAGTATTTGATTTTTTATAAATACCATAAACACTTTTGATACTATGGAAGTGATTGAAATAGCTCTATGGTCATCGAAGGCAAGTTTAGAATTTTGTGGAAATTACAAATAAATGATAAATTCCAATCTTTCGGGTGACGCCTGAAACCCAGATTTTATTAAAAACCAATAGTAAGAAAGTTGAAATGTAGTCCGGAGAGACTTTTAAATGTTCAGTTCTAAGACAATCAGGTCCAGCGGCTTTGTTATTTCTTAACTTGAGTATTATAGCCTTCTTTATCTCTAACGTAGTAAAATTTGAATTAAAGGAGATTTGTTCACTTCTCATAGATGGTATCTGACATTCGGAGTTGATTATTGTAGAATAGTGATCCATAGTTTTATTTGCTCTTCAGGGTCACGGATAATATTATTGCCAATTTTAAATTTGGGTAGGCATTTGAAATTTGAAGATTTACAGAAAATCTTTAGTTTCTTATATACATCATATAGTCTATTGCATTTTATATCAACCTCGCTCATTAGCTCTATCAACAATATACTTCCTTCTATCAGACCTCAGGAGCCTTTGTACAGTTTTTCATAAATCTTTATCATTATGACTTTTTACCTTTAGTTCTAATATCCAAGATTCCGTGATCGAGGAAATCCATTCTTAAGAGGAGAGCCTCTGACTGTTGTATAGTGTTTAAAAGTAGATAGTAATATGTACATAAAGTTACTTTAACACTTTTCCAGAATTAAATTCCAATTAGTTAGCATGAATTGATTAATATCATACTAAAACCTAGTAGTTACCGCATCCTTGACATAGAGGGAGTTTTAAGTTGTTAAAATTATCTTTAAAGATGGGTAGATTAGGCTATTTTCTTATAGCAGTACACATTGTATTTTTATTTCTCTATATGTCACTAATCATTAGGTACCCTTTGATCATTTTATGATCCGAAATAATGATGGTAGTAATTACTTTTACGTCGTAGAACCAATTATGGATAATAGACAATATAAAGTCAATTTGCGAAATAATTATTTCTGAAAAAGGTGAAAATATGTTGATTTCTATGTTGAAAGAATTCGACGAAGGTTTTTGTTTTTACATAATTCCACTAAAGCAAAAATATCTGAACCGTTAGTCGCAGGACACAGTACGGTTACCAATAATATTATTCTTTAAGTAGGATTCGTCTTTACCAATTTTCGTATTGAAATCTCCTAAAATTATCAGATTGTATCTTTTGGGTAATGTATCAATAATATTTTCTAGCTCATCAAAGAAAAGCATTTCTCTTTTAAATTAGGGGGTGCATATATTCAAAATAATTGTTGGTTTGAAGGCTGTATTAATATATAGAGCAGCCATTCTTTCTGATATAGGAACAAATTTCCTAACAAATTGGTAGATATTATTCTTGATTAGAAAGGCAGTACCCGACCAATTGTTCACAATCGTTAAAGAATAGAATTTAGCAACGTAAGGTCTCTAATAAATACTTTCATGTCGTTATTTATGATTTCCTGCAGGGCATTTATGTCCAATTTTTTATTGGAAAATAGTTTAGTAAGAATAGACATTTTATTATATAAACCGTTTATGTTATAGGTAGATAACACATAAAGATTCCTTGATTTCTAACATAGTATGGGAAAAAGATATTTTAAGGAAATGGATAAATATAATTTTGGATAAAAACTTAATGTAAACACTGTTACACCTAGTATAGCATAAATTCAGAAAATTATATAAATATTATGTTAATGTAAATTTTGAATAATTTAAGAAAAAGTAAGCTTGATTTTTCATAATTAATTATTTAGAGGAAAAGAAAAGGAATTACTAGGAGATACATTTGAACCAAAGAATATTGAATATAATAAAGTAATTATTTCAGAATTAATAAACCTGTCGAGTACACAATCCAATTATAAATATTGTATCAAATTGAAGAGAAAATTCAGAGTAACAAATTAAGAATTAAATTATTATAAAACAACATGGGAGATCAGATCAAAATAAATATAGTAAAAATTTAATGAAACTTCTTGTTTTAAGGAAACTTCTTGTGCCAATTACGCCAAGAACTATTTCGTTCTTGCTTCTACTTAATACAAAAGGGATTTATTAATTTGCATATATCTTAAAAAGAAAAATAAGAGATGGAGAAAAAATGATTTTCCAAACTTTTAATATTCTTGCTTCTTTCTACATCATACAAAAGTCATTTATTAGTTAGACGTAGTGTCATTAAATGGCTCGATTTGAGCCGATTTTTAAACACCGCTAACTCAACATTATAGCCAGGAAGATATTGCCTAAGTGTCGAGATTTCGTCAATAGATTCAATCCTATGTGCCATCTATGAGCAAAATCTTTAGGTTTGCATAATACTTTTCTGGATAAAATATTGAGTAAGCCGTTATAAAAAATCGGTTAAATTGAGCCGTTTAGCAACATTAGTTAGATGTTTAAAAAAAAGAGAAAAAAATAAATAAATGAAATACTGTTTCTAAAAAAAATAAAATAAAATACTTGTTTCTAATTTTAAATTATTTAGACATGTTCCTAAAAGAAAAAAGAGAAAATACTTTTCCTAATTTTTAAGATTGGCTCACTTTATGCTTGAAGCGTGATGTTTTAGTTCCATTTTGTTTAAAATCGTGTTTCTTTTTGTGTTTCGCAAAATAGATTGAGGAATTACTAAATTCAAAGGCAAGCATTAAATATTAGGGCTAGATATTTCCATATGTTGCATTCCTGGCATGATGCCAATTTTGATAATTTTTCCTATTTTGCTTTTTCTCTCTATTATAAACGGATTATAATTACGTGGAATTAAATTCTAAACAATGATAAAATTTTCAACACATTATATGAGTGCATTGGCCGGGCCTTATTTTAATTTTTTAAATATGCCAGGGTCGGCGGGCCTAAATAACTTTTTTTAAATATCCAGGCCGGTCCTTAAATTCTTTTTGAAAAATTCGGGCCAGGCCGGGCCGTACAAATGGTATCTCTGTCACTAATTTATTGCATGCATTTATTTATGTTAAATATAAAAAAATATACATTCTCAGATATTAATAAACGCTAATCGCATTCATAAATTTAACGCGTTCCTTTTTTTGCAAATAAATTTTGAACGCGAAATAATGATTTTTTGACAATAAACGACAAAAGCTAATTCGTTTTTTCCTTTGAAAAACTTTACAAACTACAACATTTTGGTTGACCATTTTTTTAAAAAAAAATTATCCGTACATATCCTTTCAAATGCAAAAATAAGATGAATTTAATTGATTGATCCTTTTAAAAAATTCTTTTAAAAATTTTTAGTTTTCTTTTTATGATAGTAAAAATCATTTAAAATTATTTGTGCAGAAAAACAAATTTTTAATTTTTAAAGTAGAAAAGCAGAGGAAAACTTAGGTGATTTTTTTTTTTAAAAAAGTCTAAAAGTAATATCTATATATTAAACATATGTAAATAAGTAGTGTTTAAATTTTATGTTAAATTATTTCCTATAAACATGTCTACCTTTCTCAATAATTATAAGTTATATGTTGAAATATAAATGGATGCCTTGAGCATTAGATTTTGTATTACACAATAAACATAAATTATAATATTGTTAAGAACGAAAATTAATTTAAAGATAAATATGATATAATAATAGTACAACAAAAATTAACATACTTTACTATATACCTGTATTTGTTGTATTTAATTAATTAATTTTTTTTTGAAAGCAATAAAAAATATGTTAACCTTTTTGCTCCTCCATATAACTGTAATCATTCTAACTTTATCACCGAGAATTAACTCCGTCATGTACAGGGGAGAAAAAATCCTTAATACCAACGATACAAGCACATTACCTAAATTACTCGACATCTGTGTAGGGGGCAAATATCACAAAGTCAAACCGAGCTCCGAACTCTCGGAGGAAGGCCTCGCAGGGGAATGCAGTAAATGGTCTGGTCGGGCCTGTTGCTCGAAAGAAACCGCGCTAGCAATAAATAACCTCAACGTTAAATGGCACAGTTTCGACTTGGAACATTGCGATGGGCCCATATCAGCCAAATGTAAACGCCATTTTGTCAGGGATAACTGTTTCTTCGAGTGTTCGCCAAACGTGGGTCCATGGATTAGAAGACTTGATGGCCAAAAAAAGCATAGTTCTGAGAAATTTTTTGACGTACCGCTGTGTGCTAGTGAGTGCGATGCATGGTGGAGTGATTGTAAGGAAGATATGACTTGTACTGATAACTGGTATTACGGATTCAAATGGGTCAACGGCACTAACACATGTAAGAACGATTGCAAAAGTTTCGAAGCGATATTTCAAAATGCCAAAAATTTCTGCCAAAAGGTTTGGTATCATTCATATAAGTACGTGCCTGCCAATTCTGACGAACCTTGTTTCAAACTTGAGTTTGAACCTCGAGCCGATGGATCAAACCCTAACGATGAAGTTGCTAAATATTACGTAAGGCTAATTTAAACAAATATTAATATTATTAATAACTTAAATGGGTAAAATTTAATGAAAAAAGAATAATAACAATTAAATATCATAAATTTTAACCCAATATTCTTAGAAAAATTGAAAACTCTTTTTAATTATTAAATATTTTTATTTTAAGGATTTTTTTTATAGAGCTTTAAAATCTATGGTTTTATAAAATAAAAAACTTAAAATTTTGAGAATAGTATAATATACTTTTATTATATAATTTAATTTATCAAGTTGCGAAATCATTATGTGCCCAATCATTAAAATGGATACCGGATATGAATATAAGCATATGGGATGTGAAAAAAAAAATTAATTTTTTTTCTGATAATTTGTATTTTGCCTTTATGTAATTATTATTTATATCATGTATCAAAAAATATTGGAAAATCCTAAATGATTGTCATTTTTGAACTAAAAATTTATTTTAAAATATGGGATAAAAGTGGGAAAAAATAAAATGTTTTTTTTTCACTTCTCACTATAGTTAGGTAATAGCTGATTGGTCAAGCCTAACCTATTTTATTTGGCTACGGCTAAGCCTTGTCCTATTTTTTGGGGGTACGACTAAGCCTTCAATTTTTTTTGGCTAAGGCTAGGCCTGAGCCGATTTAAATCTGATCGGCTAACGTCCATCAGCGTTCCGTAAGATATGCCTTGCGTCAAAAAAAATCAAATATGTTTAAAAATACCGATTATGACAATTATTTTTCCAAAGAACATGTACATTGAATTTATTAACATCTTTTCCTTATATGTTTTTAACCGTTAACATCTTTCAAAAATGACGAATATGACAAGTGCCACTTTAAAATTATCCTTAAAAGATCATAAAAAATAACAAAAATAAGTAAAATCTATAAATATATATTTAAAATAATTATAAAAAAAGAGATAATCTTACAAAAATGATCAAAAAGATATAAAAGATTTAATCTGAATGATTGTTTTATAAAAATTACAAAAGAATTTCTCAAAAAATATATATTTACAAAGAAGATTTAAAATTCTGATCAAATCAAAATATATGCTCAAAATTTTTTGAACTTCAAAGTATTTTTTTTTTGCTTAAAATTTTGGGCCAAAAAAATCATTAATAAAAATATCAAAATTTTTTATTAAAAAAATATCAAATAAATATATCAATTTTCATAATATAATCATATTTTATTTATATAATATAACATACTTTTAATAAAAATAAATAATTAGTAACTTAGGAGAAGCATATCTTACAGAACGCTGACGGACGTTCGCCGATCAGAATAAATAGGTTAAAACGAAACCTTACCCAAAATATATAGGCTAAGGCTAAGCCAATTACCCAACTATACTTCTCACATAATATTTTTTTAAATATTTATTTGCAAAATCTGTACTCTTTATTAAAATATTTAAAGATAAAAGTTTACATTATATCTATTACTGGATCAGGCATTGATCCGTGCTTGGAAGCGCAATTATATCTCGAATGATTCTTAGCCTTAAATACATAAGTTTTTCTAATTTTTTAAAAAAGTGTCATTTTATTAGCCGAAGTTTCTTAAAGTAGCAAGGATGTAACAAAAGGTTAAAAAAAATATTATAATGAATAGTTGATATTGGATCTAACAAAGGCGTCTCAATAAATTAAACTCATTTTTTTAAATGAAACTTCCAACTCCAAGAATGACAAAGCGTGCATTGAGCTCAATTTATTAAAAAAATTCTAAAATATTTTGTATTTGGTTTTAAAATTTGAAATATGCTTAATTAATGGCATGGATATTTTTCTGTAGAAAGACATTTTTTTTTAGAAACATTAAAAAAATTCGAAATTATAATTATGTTGAAAATAATTTTCGAATAGTCTGAAAATATCTAAACATCCGGAAATGAAAGGAAATGTCCTCTTTCATTTACTCGTCTCATAAGAGAAACCTTATTAGAGCCCTGCTCAGTTCCTATTTTTTCAGGCGCGACCCGGTCTGAAAAATAAATGTCTGACCGTCTGACACGAGAAATTTTAATTCAAAGATCAGAGTATGATTCTAAATGATATATTAAAAGGTGTTACTAAAACGAGTCGATTTTGACAATAAATTTTTTGAAAGGCTAACAGAATATTTAATCCAGAAATATATTAGGCAGGCCTGAATATTTTGTTCATATATGGTACATTTGATATCTCTTAACAGAGGTTTCGACCGTTTTTAAAAACCAGCTCAAATCGAGCCCATTTAACAATACTAGGTCAGAGATAGAACCGAGTCCGATTCAATCCTAACTTTTTTTTATTGAGTTGTTTAAAAGCGTGATATTTTAACGTAATCGGAAAAATTATAAGCGCTTAACTTTGCATTCACGGTGGGAAAATTCGCGTCGAGGTATATAAGATGCTAACTTTTTGTATTCTTCGTTAGAGAAATTCGCGTTAACTAGAAATGCAGGGTAAGGTTAATTCATTCTGCGGTCATTCTTGAAAAATAATTTTCATAAAAACGTTAAGAGAACAAAATATTTTTAAAAATAATTTGTGGTCCCTAGTCGGATCTGGCATACTGAGGCCAAGAAAATGTGTGCCTGAATTCGACCAATCAAATATAGGTCGAATCCGACTTAGAAAATGATATATATGATTTACGCATTCTCTTGAGCAAAATCACAGTATTTCGCGTTTACTATAAATGAGCCGGAAGGCTATGGACTTAGCAGAACTTCAAGAATTTGAGATAATTGAGCTTGTATTTGTTTAATTATTAAAATACAGAAACTATAAATATATTACATACCCATAATATAGAAATTTTAAAACCCTCCCATTTTCTATAGCAGGTTAGCTTTTAAATTATAATGATGAAATAATATATGTTAACTAATAACGTAAAATTTTATATTATTTTGGGAGTAAAACAAAATATTTCCTTAACAAATTTATTATATAAGTAACAACATTGTAAATGTGCTTTCGTGATTCAATTATATTAATGCTTGATTATAATTTATGCTTGATTATAATTTATTAATTATTTTCTTTTGTCTTAGGATTGTTCTGAATATCTTGCTCTAAAAAATTTAATAATAGTCAATTAAATTATGATATACAAATCGAACAAATTTGAGATTAGCTGGTGATAAAATAAAGAATAAGGAAGTAAATGCACTAATTATTGCTAAGTTATTAATTGCTATTTTTCAATTCAAAAGTCACACTTATCCGACAGCTTTGTTAAGTTTATAAATAGGAGGTAAATATTTTGAATTTATCCTATAACATTTAAAAGAGTTTGCACTTAAGCAATATCCAATTAAAAGTATTTAATGAACCAATTTATGTAAATGATAATTTTAAACCTATAATCTTGTAACATAAAAGTTATTTCCAATGACTTACTAAAATGCAATATATTTCAATTGACCTTAATTATTACATCTTATTAAACTTTATTTATCCATTGATTACAACAATTTTCCTTTCAGTAGGTCAACGATTGTGACCCTGATATTCTCACAGAGTTAATCTTTTGCACATAATGGCCGATCTTACGAATCGGTTCCACAGCTTTCTCAGCTGAGCACTTTACCTTCCGAATATACTTTAGATCTCACTTAGACATTCAAGCTTTCCTCCTTCCACTTATTGCTGTTATACTTTTAAGTATTATTATAAAAGATTATTTTAACTTTGTGTTTATAGTCGGTTCCTGGAAAACCCTTGAGTCTATTTTGCTGCTTGTTACTTCCTAGAGAACTTCCAGGTATGTTCCTCCATCTCCAGACATTCACAATTTTTTGATAGTTGGTATTAGAGTCTCAATAATTGATGTTGTTTTTTTAAAATATATTAAGGGAGTACCACCGTTATAATAAAAAGTTTGTAATTAATAATGTGAGAATATTGCCACCTTATTTTTTGGGAGGGAGTAGGTATAGGTTTTTGAAGTTAGTTTGATTTCAATAAATATCCTGTCATATGCTAAGCCCCCGTCATATCCTCACAAGTAGCTGGTCCTGCAAATCTTTGGCCTAAATCATGTATAAAGTAAATTTCACGATATCCTTTACCTTTCCAGAATATTACCTTATTGTCTCCTCTTTTATTTTCATCAATTATTAAAGTTAACCAGAGGCCTTTATAGTCCCAGGAAGAAGAGCTCAAAAAATCATTTTCAAAATTACATTTGGTATTAAAAAATTCAAAATTTTACAGGGGCTCTTCAAATTTTCCCCTTTCTAGTAATGCCACTGAAGTCAACTCCCAAATAAAATTATAACATTTGTGATCTAAAGATTGGTGCACCATTCAATGATATTGATTTCATTGAATGATTTGTCTTATTGCCACTGGAAATTAGTATTGTTCCTCTGTACTAAAATAGGCGAATTATCATTATCATCATATTTACTTCCTTACCTATTGCGTCCCAATCCCAATTCCCAGGGTAATCATTACTAGCAATTTTACTATTTTTAAAGTTTCATATTCTAATATTCTATTTCTACTTTTTTCTTCATAAATTTTATTGATTTTGGTAGATATTTTGATATACCAAATGACATATAAGGGTGTAGAGACTCTTCTAATAAAAAGTATCTTATAAAAGTATTAAATCTTAATTAAGTAAACTAGAATCTATATCTTATATTGCTATATTTTCTATTCATAAATTTTATTTATCCAGGCACAATTTCGGTATAAACGTAACTGGTTTCAAAAGTAGGATAAAACAGATAGGATCTTGATTCTTTCCTCTAACTCGGATGAAATAATGTTTAAGGAGAAATAAATGTGGATTTTACATTAATAATTTATTATTTATTGTTAATATCTTCATCGACATATTGTAGAAGACTCTTTTTATTTGCTTCTCGCTAAATCGTGCATCAAGTATCTTAGGCCAATTTCTTATTATAAAAGCATATATCAGAAAGAGATTCTAAAACAAATAATTTTATTAAAATTTATTCTCGTTTTTAAAGCTATCCAATAAACGAGATTGCATAAGGATTTTGGGAGAAATTATAAAGTGGTCTATTTTTAATATCTTACTGGTTTTGGATTTTTTTTAATAGTATAATTTAAATAAAAGTGGAATTTCTGAATCAAGCATCTTTAAATAATTCACCTACATGCAACGTATGAGAGAGGAGGTAGGAGCAACATCCATTTTTTCAGAAGGGGGGGGGGGGTAGGCATTCAAAGAGAAGTAGGGTAAAGTACAAATAAACATTATTTATACATTAAAGATAAAAATACTGTGGAAAAATTTTAATTTAATAAATATTTATTCTGATTTATTCAGATAAAATTTTAATATAGCTTGAAATTACATATGCTCATGGCTTATTTTTAGAATAAAGTTAGCAACAACTAGTTGATTTTCACTACCTGATAATTATTTGTTATTCCTAACCTAAAAAATAGTGAGGCCTGAAAGAATTTAATTAAAATTATTTCAAAAAATGGTGTTCATCATAATATTTTTTAAATTAATATCATGGGCTAGTAAAAGCATAATGAGTGGGTAAATATTTTGTCGAAGGCCGCAAATTTTTTTAGCATAGTGGGTGTATATTTCTGAAAGATTTTGTCTTCAATAAATTTTCTGACAAGCAAAAGCTGCTATACATAATATTTTATTATTTTAAACAGGTTCCTATGACTTATTTTTTAGATCTTTAATTTACAAAAGGACACCTAAGAAACAGGTAAAATAAATATCCCAATTTATTATTTCATTCTTAGTAAATTGATTTATTCAATTCCTATTATTAAATATATTTTTTAAATTGGATTGTTTCCAGCTTGTAACGTTGTTATTATCTAAATTCTAACAGCCGTAAAAAATCTCTAAGCCCTGAGGCAAGAATATATTTTTTCAAGAGTGTGTTATCCTTTCAGCTTGAATGTCGATCGAGGTTAAGATAATAATTTTCGATTTAAAAATTTTTTAAACTAAGAGTTGGCTCAAAACTTCTTAAAAGAAGCTATTTATCACCACTCCTTGTTCATGGTGAACCTCACTCTTTATCTAAAATAAAGTAGAGCGCAGACCCTTATAATAATTTATATAAAAATGGCAATTTAAATATGAAAAATAAAAATGTTTCCTTCTCCATTTATCTTCGTAAACAATTTGAAGAAGATTTGAACACTTTTGAAAACATTTTAAAGTATTTTGGAGATGAGGCTCAGCCCCTTCTCAAAATTTGGAATGGGAGCTAAAAATTAAAAAAAAGCGGGTTGAGGCTTAGCCCTCTTCAATCATCCCGATGCCTACTGTTTTATTAACCAACTTTCTAATTATATTCAATTTCAAATTATTGTCACCGTTTAGCAATAAAACAGATAGGGAAAAGTTTATCATTCACATAAATTGAAATTATGACGACTTTTGGAAGAATAACTGCTAATGTTCAAAAAAGTATCAATATATCAATTGATGTATTTTATAATCTTTATAGTACTTTATAATAATGTTTACAAAATGTCATATAGTGATTATAGGTTTGTTTTGTATTTACATTATATAATTTTAAATAGAAATAATTTAGTTGCATACTGCAAAAAAAGTGACATTTTTGTTTGTTTGCATAGAAACGATGAGTTCCCATATGAACACTCAAAGCCTATTCCAAATATTGAATCAGTTTTATCAGAAGTATTATTTATTATATTTTAGTAAACTTATATTAAATATTATAACATTAGAAAGAATCACCATTAAAAATACAATTACATGAACAAGATATTATAAGATATAAGCAAAAACCTCCTTGTCCAGAAGATTTATCAAAAATTTTATACACAAACATGCAAGATTTAAGGCCTACGTAATTTAAATATCAATGATAATATTTTAATTTTTATTTAGGATTAGAAAAATCAAAAAAGAAAAAATATTTATTAGAGATCATTTGTAAATGATATTTATTTATCTATATAAACGACTTAGTTTGTATATGTATACATAATATTTTTTTAAATTTTTTATATTATATTTGTGTTAAATTCAAAATATATCTCATAAACACTTTTACAATGATAAAAATATTATTAAGAAATAAAATTATAAGTGGTTTTAATAAATTAATCTGGCTTAAATAAGGCTGACTCGAATTTTGAGTCATATTTTTGACCTCAACTTAAATCAAAGCCAAAAAAAATGACCTTAACCTAAATTTAAATTGAGTTCATAAAGGGGTAATAACAGTATTTTAACACTATTTACAGGTGATTTCTTAAACTTGTAAATATTACTTCAACCAATATAGTAAATTTAAATAATTTTTAAGAAAATTATATAAGAATATTAGAGCTGCTAAGTTAACTCAAAAAATAATGTTACATTTCATATTACCTTACAAAAATAGGACATTTATTTTTTTTAAAGTACCAAAATCACTAAAAAAACATATTGAATAATTTTTTTTCTTTTTTAAATCCCATAATTCAAATAAATTGTACAGAATTTTTTAATATTATTACTCTATGAACTTGTTTTTTAAGCAATTTTGATAAAAATATTTTTCCAATATAAAAACATGATAAAATTATTTTTCATGGAATCCTTTTTATTATATTTTAAAGTATTTAATGTAAAAATTTTACCAACATGTTTGCAAGTTTTTTTATATTAGATAATGTAAAACAAAATATATTTTTGGTTTAATGTTGTTTGTTGGATTAAATTAAAAATAAGAACAAAATAATTAGAGTTGCAATGTAATCAAATGCATAAAAAGGGTCATTCCATGTCAAATCAATCACTTTTCGGCCAACCCCTTTTGATTTCGATAAAAATTTGTAGGCTGGTTATATATGTTCCCATTATATTATAAACAAAATTTTAGCACATTAGAAACTATATTAGCGGAGATATTTGGGGTTAAAGGTCCAAAAAACGTCTTTTTTTGCTTTTTACTGATGTTAAATAATTAGTTTTTATAAATATGATCAAATATTGAATCTAATATCAATAGCCAAGTTAATAATTGATGATTATGGCGAAAACATCAAAATTAATTTTTGATAAAATATGGGTCATCCTATGGTCAGTTGAAAACTTGAAATTAATATTTCGAAATGTATATGATCTCCGATTTTTAATTTTTTTAAGAATTATTATCCGTTTGCTATTTTTTTAATAATTTATTCGACAATCAGTATGGCTGGGTATTAAAAAAATATTGGGAATATTATACTTTAGAAAAAATAGATGGCGCTATATATAATAGTTTAATATGTTTAAATTTATTTTTTTATTGATTAAAAATATTTTAATGTATATATATCATACTAAATCGATTACAATGTGCATTATATATATTATTTGTAATTCAGATCATAAATTTTTAAAATCTTCACAAATTTTGCCTAATTAAGATAGTTTATAAATTAATTAAATCTTACTTCATCTAAAGGAATACAAAGCCTGGCTAGCTTGTGAGATTCTTCAGGAGATAATATATATGTTCGACTGGTGGGAGTAGAAGGATTGACCAGCGAGAGAATATGAGATTTAGGCAACACTAAAATATTATCTTTCAGAGGAAATTTAAATGAGGCTGAAGGTCCACAAGGGTGTAAAAATCGGATTTTTACTTCTTCATTTGTATAACTTTTATCGATTATATATCCTAACCACCATTTATCATCATATACACATGTTATATATTCATTAATATTTTAAAATATAATTTTCTCATTTAAAAACGGAACTTGTCTTATATTATATTTTTTGGAATTAGAATATATTTTGGTTTTTAGTTTATTTTTATCAATAGGAATAATCCCGTGAATTTTTTGGGTCCCATGTATGGGCAGTGCAGAATTAAATCTTTTACGAAGGGCTAATTCCTCTTCGATATATTCTTGATTGGATACATATTCAAATTGAATATTAATATTTTCTTTAGCATAATTATATAATTCTAATGGGGTTAGGATTTGATTTTTATTTGGCCTTTGAAGACTAGCTCTGGCAACTAATCTTTTGACAGTTCCTCCGATACCATCACATGCATTTTTGCCGTGAGCAGTGACAAAGAAATGCCATTCGGCAGGAATATTAAAATCGTATTTATGAAGGCATATGTTCAGAAAATTTTTGCGATTCTTGTATTGAGACGCGGCTTCATCCGAAAAATATATTATTTTTTATGGTTTAGAATGAAATTTCGCTGTTAAGAATTTAATGAATTTTTTTTGATAAAGGTGGACTGCACTAGTATTATGGCTTAATGATTCGGACAAAATAACAAAATTTATATTTTTTAATTCTTCTCCAGATTTATAATGTGCTACAAATGGATGTATAGTGGCCTGCACATTGTTCCAATGAAATCCCTGAACTTCATCTTGTAAAATGAAGGAATAATTTTCAGAATAATCTAGAATTGTTAAAAATTCCTCATCTTTTAAATTTTCTTTGGAATTCTTCAAAAATAAACTTTGTGTTTAGCTATAAACGAGTGACGCAGTAAAATTTGAACTTTTTATAATAGATATTCGATGAAACCATCAATGGACTTTATAATAGTTTCAAGATTTGCTCTATCCACCGTGATCCATTGTTTAAACGTGACATATTCTATACGATTTCTCTGAAACAATTCGTATAATTGGCCCATAAGAGATTCTATACCAGGGCATTGATCACAATTTGTTAAATAACATTTTGGCTGAGATGGATTATAAATAATTTGCGCCAAAAGATTGTTATAAGAATTTATACAGTAATCTTCTCCTGCTGTAATTTCAGCTATTACATTTGTCATTAATTTCACATTCTGATGAATGGCGCAGACACAAACAGTGTGTGTGCCATCCAACTAAAATTCAGTTTTTTGGTCTAAGTTCGGCAAATTTAGGGAATCCAATTGATATACTTGGGTATTCTTCCTTAAACATCTTGAATATTTCTTTAAGATTATTTAATATAAATCTTTGCTAATTCTTTCTCGCCTTTAACAGAAACACAATCTTTTATTCCAGACATGAGTCGGCTTATTTCATCAGAACTATAATTTTGTTATTTTTATTGCTTAAAAAATTTTTCAAAATCTTTGAAATTTTTTTTATCTCTGGTTATTTTAATAATGTGTAAGATAATGACAATTTCATAACATTCTTGGTCTTAATGGGTATGACTTAGTCTGGGGAGGGGGTGGATAGGGGGTTGGGGGTAGGCCTGGTAATTAATGCGATTTTCGATTTTTCCCTTAATAATTTTTCTGCACCCCTTTAATCCTGCTTTTTTGTTCGTGTGCTAGTCCGATTTTTTAATTATTTTAATTTACAATGAAATATTAAAAAAATTATTAAAATTTTTTATCCTGCGAATATCTCAGGGGAATAAGGTTTACAAAGTTATATAATCGAATTTTATGATATATTTACATTAAAATATTTTTAATCAATAAAAAAAATGAATTTTAACATATTAAAACTATTATATATAGCGCCATCTATTTTTTTTTAAGTATAAAAATCGCAATATTTTTTTAAATAAATATCCAGCCATGCTAATTGTTAAAGAAATTATTAAAAAAATAGTAAACGGATAATATTTCTTAAAAAAATTAAAAATCGGAGATCATATACATTTCGAAATATTAATTTCAAGTTTTCAACTGACCATAAGATGACCCATATTTTAAAAAAAATTATTTTTGATGTTTTCGCCATAATTATCAATTATTAACGTAGCTATTGATATTAGATTCAATATTTGATCATAATTAGTTTTAAATTAAAAACTAATTATTTAACATCAGTAAAAAGGAAAAAAAGGCGTTTTTTGGACCTTTAACTCCGATTATCTCCGTTAATATAGTTGCTAATGCGCTAAAATTTTGTTTATAATCTAATGGAAACATATATAACCAGTCTACAACTTTTTATCAAAATTGAAAGGGGTCGGCGGAAAATCTTGATTTTTTTGCTCATTTGACATGGAATGACCCAAAATCGATATTTTAATTTTAACATCTCGATATTGGAAGATATCATAATTCGCTTATAAAATTTTAAATTCTAATTATAAATTATTTTTATGGTAAGTGCTAAATATGGTGAAATATATTTAAAAAAAACTGATATTTCTGTTATTTATGCTAAATTTTGTAATTTTTCTGAACATCAAACCCTTTTTTAAGAGGGTTCCACGGCCCTGGTTAAAAACAACGATTTTTGATGAAATTCCAAATTTAGGTAATATTATTTTTAACAAAATTCCAGATTTAAGGAAATCATTTTTGATAAAAATCTTAATTTATTGAAAACACAATTATAGATGTAATTTTTCAAAACAAAAAATCAAGGAATTTACTCAAACTCGATAATTATTCCGATATAATTTTTCCAATTTATTTATGTAATTAAACTATAACTTCTGTATAATAATAATATAAATGATATGAAAATAATTTATTATATATCTCAAATATAATTTAAGGTTTTGTATTCAATCTTTCCTATTTAGTGCACATAATACCTTTAGATTGTAGCATCTTTTCTTCTCGTCGATTTCGTCAAAGAAGTCAATCATGTTGATATTATTACGAAGAGTCTGAACTTGTAGAAGAATCAGTTGATGATGACGAAGAGGATAGTGAAGATGATTTCTTAGATTTTTTGCTTTTTCTCGATTTTTTGGACTGACGGGCTTCTTTAGAACTTTTAACGTGTTTTCGATGTTTTTTGTCACCCTTCTCCTTTTTTTTCTTGTTAATTTTAACCTTTTTGACGGAGATAAGGTCTACAGGCTTTTCATGAGATTTGGTGAGAATTTCTTGCTTTTTAGAACAAATTTTTTTGGCCAACATAATAATTTCTGGATCCTTGTCCTTTCTCTTAGGAACTTTATTTTCGGATTTGACGTCGCGAATTTCATCGACCTTAACGCTTTTGCTATTGATTATTTTGGGGGACTTTTTATCTTTTTTTCCTTCATCATTTTTGAGAACATTGCCACCCATAGCTGCTCGTTTGTCTTTTGCTTCTTTCTCTTTATTACCCTTTTCCACAAACGTCTCCTTAACTTTAACATTTTTTATCTTAGGTTCTTCTACTCTAGCCTTACCCATTTTAACGTCCGTAGACGACGGTTTCATAATGATATCGTTCTTCCCAACTTTGTCGATCTTATTATCTTTACCGTTTTTGCCCTCTGCCATCTTCGGACTTTTACTTTCCGCGACTTTCTTTGACGAGCTACTTTTAGTCTTATTTTTTTGTTCGTCGGAAAAAGATGATTTATTCAAATGGGTACTACTTTCGCGCTTTTTTAGATTATCTTCATCGCCCCGGTGACTATGTTTCGTAGATTTACTAGTAGATAAAATCTTTTGGTTAGTTTTAACCATTTCCTTAATCAGGCTATTACTTTTAGCGTCAGGTTTTGCTTCTTTACTAAGCGTGGTAGCTTTTGAAGGCACTCTATGTTCTGATTCGTGTGTTTCTATATTATTTATTTTTAAAAAAAGTCAAATATATTATAAATTTTCTCGCAGAACTTACCCGCTATCTATTATAAATCATCTTATTTTTTTTAAAAAAATATTAAATGTTAATAAAAATTGAAGTAGGCTTAAAAGGCAAATTTTGATCAATATACTTGGTACGTCAGGCTTAATGTTACTATTACTCCGCCTAATGCCGCCCTCCCTATCCCCTGGATCAATATTGCCAACTATCTTCCTGGAAGTAGTCTCATCAGCATTTAAAATCCGTTTAATTCCTCTGTCAGCTGGGAGAGGGATCATAAATTCGTCCTTAATTTCTTCAGCCAAAAGTTGTGAAGACTTTTCGGTATTTTCCTCGTTTTCGGATTGACTTGAATCTTCCCCAGAACCATATTGGGAGATGCCTGATTTGAGTGTTTATGAGGTATGGGTGCAAGTAGAAATACAGAGTGGGGTATAATATGATGGGGCGAAATTGACATCCCGTTATATTTTATAACAAAAGATAATATAGAAATTTATTTTAAAAAAAAGAATTATCTTTATTAAATAGAATGAATTTAGAGTAGAGAATTGTTAGAAAATAAATATTTAAAATTTTAATTAACCACAAAAGTAAAAAAAAACATCCATCAAAAATTTTAATTTTTAAGAATTTTTTGGCTCTTTTAGTTAAAAAAAGAAGATATAAACACGTGGTTAATATAATTAACTAAATATTGTGATGTAAAATAGTGAATGTATGGATATATCTTACCCAATGATGATATTTTATTTAAAGCTTTGCGACTATTTTGATTATTTCTGTCCTCAACTATTTATTTCGGCGCAGGAGAACGAAAAAAAATTAAATAATATATATAACAATAAAAAATATTTAAGAGATATTATATGTATCCTATTACAAAAGTATACAATTATAATGTTATTTGTGAGAATATAAATTAACAAAGATATATAAGACAGGTGAAAAGTGTTCAAAAATATAATTAAATGTGCATACTTTCGGCTCGAATTAAAGTCATTTCATTATTTACCACATCCGCTATTAATTCGTTAGTACTAGTTATTAAAACTTCTGTTAAAACGAGCTTTATTTTAGTCACCTATTTTTTACAAAATTATTAGTGTTTTTAGTATGATATATATATTTCAATTAAGTTAATAAATTGAGGGGAAAATATTTACTAAATTTATGGAAGGATGGATGGCTGAAGTATAGTCATTGCTTTTGACTTCATCGTTATTAGGGGAAGATTCGGCAGGCTCTAAAGGAGATTCGCCCAATAATGTCTAATAAATAAATTCAAAAATAAAACATGATTGTATATTATGCTGGGATCCAAACCGTAATGAATATCGATTCGGTTCAGACAAAAATAAAGGTCTACGATTCCGGTTCGGTTCGTAAGAAATAATAATATCGATTTGATTTAAACCTTTAAAATCCGATTCAATTTTTTTTCACATAGAACCTTATTAGAATCATGTAAGTTGAAGCATAATCTTTTAAAATTAGTTCCTATTCTCAAAAATATTATATTACTCCTACAATTAAAATATTTTTAATAATCTCTTCTGTCAAATTATATTTATAAGGGGAGGGAATAAATTATATGGTCGAGAACCTTCTACATGCTAGACGTGGTGGTTGGCATGATAAAAAGTTGAACTCGGTTTATCGACTTTGGAGGTTCGGTTCAAGTTCGGGACAATATTATTAACGGTTCAAGTTCGGTTTAAGTTCTACAAATAATAATGGTTAATACTAAAACATATATTAAACCAAGGTTGACAAATCGATAAATAGACCGAAAGTAAATTAGACCAGTTAATACTCTAAAAATTTTATTTTTGTGTTTAAATATAACACATAATTATTGTCACGCTATTGATAAAATGAAATAAGATTATTTAACAGTTAAATTGTTTGTCAGGTCTAAGTAAAGACTTAACCAATCTGAAGCCTAATTCTAAAAAAAACTATATTAACAAAAAATAATGATATTTGTGGTTTAAATTTAACAAAGAATTGAATCAACATGACAACCGTCTACTCGATTTTGGGGACCCTATATCCCACAATTCGATTTTTATCATCATAACAAACTCTGGCTAATAAATCAATTTATAAATTCTTTATAGAAAATAAATTAAATGAGTCTATGGTATTATCCATACAAAGAACCAAAATCGATTTAACTGAAAAATTAGTTATAATTTAAAATTAATAAAAATCTAAAAGAAAATGATAATAACTTGGTTGAATTTGGAAAAATGGCGCTAAAGCAAGCGAAACTTATTTTTAGAATAAATTCATCATATAAACATAGAATTTAATTATTTTATTGCACATTTATTTATAGATGTAATTGTATATTTACTATTATATTAAATAGAGTAAATATATTGTCATAAAAACATGTATTTATCCATATTTGTCTATTCAAATATTAGTCAATTGACCAATTTATAGTTAAATGGTCAAATACCTAACTCTATCTCTATTTTTAAACAAAGCAAAGATAATTATGTTAAAGGTTTATACTTCCATGGCATTAAAATTATCGGTTTCTTCATTTAACAGTTGAGGATTGTATTCAACATGTGACTCCTTTTCATCGATAATCAAATCTGTATTTTTAAGTTGATATGTATTATCCTGGGGTTTTCTTTCTTTTTCTTTTTCCATTTTCTCTAAGCCTTCTTTCAACCATGCAGGAAGTGATTTTCGTTTGTTTATATTTTGATAATCAATTTGAATGTCGGTTTGCTGAGCACCTTAATTTATAAGTTAATATAAGGATAATAATATAAATATGATTTGATATTTATCAAATAAAAATAATATATATAAATTTTAAACCCTCTCTTGCATAGAGTATCCTATCAGTTCAGTACCATCAAAAACTAATATAAAATTTCTGGTAGATATTATATGTTATATACAATATTATTTCTAATGCACATTTTAAAACTCTTATTTTTAAATATCTGCCATTTTAAATAAGGATTTTACAATTTTTTAAAAATTTCTTAAAATATATTTTTTCAAAGAATAAATAATTTTCTTAGACATTTTTTTAGCTATAAAAACACCAAGGAATAAGCACAGCATTGTTAGAATATCCAAAATACTTGTTTTCTATTAATTCATCTGAACAAAATTTTATTAATGAAAAATTTGCTTTATAATATTGGAGAAGTGTAAGTGTAGCAGTCATTAAAGTAACTGATAATAAAATGTTTTAATGATCCTATCCTGTTTAGATATATTTTTAAATTATCTATTTTTAGATATATTTTGATACACCAACACTGTGCCATATACCATATATCTATGTCAAGATACCTTTTGTGCAGAATATCTCTTCTTTACATCTGAAAAACATCCTTAAATAAAACTGCAGTATAATTCAAAAATCATAATACCCAATATATTGTTCAGTAAAATATATAAAAAATATATCAGTACTTATATAAGGAAAATAAGTAGAAAAATATATGACTTGATCAATTTACTACATATTTTGATGTTGTGAGCAATAGAGGGTTAAAAAATAATAAATATTGTAAATATACCTATCATGGCATTAATGGGAATAGAGTTATATGCTATATATTCACTATTAAATTGACTTAATTGAGATGTATTTGAGACTGATTTATAGGCATGTAAATCATTTTCTTTAGGATTTTCATTAAATAAATCCTTACGTATTTGTAGTGTAGAATCTTCAATATTAGGTAAGGTAGGATTTATATTTAATTGATTGGGAATAGTAGAAAAATTCTGATCATTCATTGCTTGTACATTATTTAATATAAAGTTTAATCTCGGATTAAATTGTGACCTATTTTGAGGAAATTGTTGATGAGGTATATTTGGATTATTATAATTCATAATATTTGTATTAGGCATCATTTGAGGGTTAAAATTTTGATAAGTTTTATTTTCATTATGAAAGTTATATGGCATTAATGGTTGTCTAGGCATAAATTTATTTGGATATGATTGCCCCCAGTTATTCGAGGAACCATATTCAAAATCATTGTTTATCATATTTTGATTATTGTTCTAAAAAATATATTATTAAAATATAAATATTTTTTAAAATACATTTGAATTTGGTTGGTACATTTGAGTGTTTTGTTGAAAAATGGGATTTTGATAACTCATATGAGGCTGAAAATTTTGATTGGCAGGGAAATAATTATTAGATGGATAAAAATTGGGTAAATTTGGGTTATTAATCATTGCCATTCCTTGTAAATATTTTAAAACTACAAATTTAAAAATATGTAACTTGTTTGAAAATACTGATTTAAAGGATTAATATCTTCTTTTTGTTTAACCCATTGTTGTGCTAATGATGCCCAGTCTTAATGAATATATATATGTATTAAATCTATTATTGTTTATTATAACCTTGATTAGAGTTAAAATTTTGGGTCCCTAAGCTCGCAGTATTATTTATAGGCCACATTTTAGTTTTGATTCAGGTGGTGCATCATTAAAAAATTTACCTAGAGGTGTAAAATAAATTTTTTAATAATAATTTATACTATACTATGATTAGTTATTTGATAAATATCACTGATAACAACTTAATTAAATATCAATATTGTTAAAAATTTTTATTTTAATAAAATCTTATACGGCTTAAAAATAAATCTAATTACAAAGTTAGTTTGGTTAAAGATCGAAACATATATGGGTTTGAAGTTTTAGTGTCGCACTAAGTAAGATGAGAAAATAAATTTTATTCTTTTTGAAAAAATCATAAAATGTAAAATCATTTCCTTATATACAATAATAAGAAAATAAAAAATATAATTAGAATATTAACTAAAATAAAAGGAGATGATAGACTTACTCCAGACGGCCTATTAGCAAGAAATAAAAACTATATTTTTTCTTATTTTTACGCATTTTCTGAATCGATAAAATGTTACGAAGATATATTAACTAAGTTAAATAATTTCACACTCGATATTTGAACATTTGTTTCCATTATGATTTACTTGTATAAAAGCAACATTCAACTAATGCTGGGAGATAATTCATTACGAATTTTAACATTTTTTTTAAATCTTATTTGGTGGCTTTTTTTTAAAAAAAAATGATATTCATGTTATATACTAAATTTTTAATATAGTCATCTTATGATTTAAAAAAATGATTAAATTATATTTTAAAAGAAATCTCCAAATTAAAATGTGGGAAAATTTGTATAAGTAATAGAAATTAATCTAAAGTAAACATAATAATTGGTGTAATTATATGCTATTTTAATAAAATGTATATAAAAAAGGTATATTAAAAAAGATATCTTTATATGAATTCTAAAAATTTATTGATTAAAATGTGCTTATAATATATAATCCTCATTACCCAAAAGAGGGCATATCCAGTACAGTTAATTAGCATCCACTGATTGGCAGTAATTTACCCTACTCTCAGGGCCCATTAATTAAAGAGGGATAATGGTACCTCTTGTGGATAAGCCAGGATCCACCAATTGGCAGTAATTTACCCTGCTCTCAGGGCCTGTTTAATTTAAGAGGACTTAAGGTACCTCTTGTGGATAAGCTAGCATCCACTAATTGATAGTAATAAACCTATATTGGGCCAATCTTCCATATTTATAAAATATAAGATTCAATCATATGATATTAGTGGACTTACGGTACCTCTTGTGGATAAGCTAGCATCCACTAATATAGTAATATACCTATATTTGACCAATCTTTCATATTTAAATATATAAGATTCAATATGATATTAGTTGATCGAATATTTTTGGTTAATTTGTGATAAATATGAATTCTAAAAGCAGAAAAAAAATATTAAGGAATAAATAAGAAACCGGTTGATGTGGTTAATAGTTTTGTGTTTGTATAAAGTTTATTTTCAAATATTATCTTTTCCTCCGGAAAATGGCTATAAATAACAAAAAAAATATATCTTTCATTCCTTACTATTAAGCCATTTGGCGTTAGTCTATCATCTCCCAAAATAAACGACGACCTTAACTGAAATATTTTCAAACTGTTTTTAAGTGAAATGAAATATAAAATACTTTAGCTTTGATACCTTCTTAAATACTTTAAACTAAAATGAAATAAAAAAAAACTTATAATAAATATTTATGTGTATACCTGAAAGGAAAAAAAGAAAAATATAAATAATACAATTAAAATGTTTCTTGAATAAAATAAAATAAATGATGAGATAAAAGACTAATAATGATTCTTTAACACTAAAATGTTTTTTGAATAAACTAAAATAAAGGATGAAATATAAAATAAGAAATTCATAATAATTATTTAACAGTTAGAATTTGAGCGCGATCGTTAGAAAAACTGTATCTTCAAACGAAGTATTACCTTCTAAAATTTTGACCGAAGCTCATTATACAACTCAGATAACCCTACTCATAAGGTAAATAGATATCATGTGTTATATAATTACATAGTATATAAATACTTTGCCATTTAATCAAAAAATCAATATTCATTTCTCCACCTCTTTTCAGCATATAAAGATTATTCGTAGGTCATAAAATATATTTTAGCAATTTTTAAATTATAATCCTCAATCAAGGGTTTCGTCGGATGACCTGCTTTGTCACTACCACTGGAAGCTTTTGTATTTCTTTCTTCTTTTTAAAATTTTATTAATTCAATTGCTTCTGGTGATTAGTATTCTTCCTCATAAAAAATTAATCTTTCCTTTTTTTTTTCTTTTCTTTTTTCTAAAATTTTCTTTAATAACAAAATAAAATTTGAATTTTTTAGTTTAGCTAATAAAGAAATAATTATTGTAATAATATATTTTTAATTATTGTTCTATAAATACATTGATTATTAATCTTCTTATAATTATTATATTTATTCACTTTTTCCTTAATATATTTATTCTCTATTTTCTTTTCTTCCTAAAAACGAATAAATAATAATATTGTTTTAGTATTACTATTATTTAGTCAACGTTGCATATATTAATATATGTCATTGTGAAGACAGATAAAAATATGGGCTAAAATCTAAGGCATCTACAAGTACAATAAATTTGTATTAATCGCGTTAAAAAATAAATAGATGATCTAACATTATATGTTAAAACGGTTGTAAAAAATAAATCCTAAAACTGGGGAAATTTCTTATATATTATAGAAAATCTGGAAAATAAAATTAATAACTACTAGGGAAGGTAATATTCATGATTAAATTTATAAAAAAAACTCTAAAATAAAGATATCTTATATATTCTTATTACATTCCCAATAAACTTTCAAATTGTGAATATTTAATAAATGTTTCAACTTTTAAACGGTATTTTTAAAAACAATTGAAACATAAATATTAGCTCCCCCTAACTATTAATAGCATTATCAATATGAGATTTACTAGAATATATAAGAAATATTCCCATTTCTCTTCTTTGAACTTCGTGTTTTCTACCTATAGTCGAAAACATGTAGAATTTTAAACACCCAAAACTGCCGTAATTTGATGCCATTTAGCACCTATCCAAAATTATTATTTTGTTATGATATAATACAATCTCTGAGCTATTAAAAACGGTAAAGGACAAGTTAATTTTCCAGAAAAATATTTTTTTTCTGAGGAGTATTTTAGAATTTTTTTTTAAAGTATTTCTAGGGAAATTATCTCTTGTGATTCGTTGAAAACATTGGCATCCTTTATAAAAATAAAATAGCGGAAATACGAATGAAATGAGTTGTACACTTATTACTTCTTTTAAAAACTTGTATATTAATTTTTATTTATTTATATTAAAAATATTAAAAAGGTTTTTTTCGCATAGAAACACATTTTACAAAAAAAAAAAATGTCAATAACCCTATTTTAATCATTTCGAACAAATTCTCATTTAAAAAGAACATTTATTTTTAAAAAAATTTACAATTTTTTTTTGTTAAAAGTCAGTGGAATGAATATCTATAAAATTATTTAAAATTTTTTTTAAATAAATTTATTAGCTTAAAATAATTTTGTAAAATCTAAAAATATATTATATAATAATCTATTTTTTAATAAATATATACATATATATTGTTCGAATTGGATTATAACAAAAGATAAAAAATGTCGTGGAAGGGGGAGAGGGGTATAGGGGAAATTTTTTAAATAGCTTTAAGTGATATTTATGAGAACAGGCAAATTCTCTAAGGGGAAATTTTCCTTTGCCCTTCCCACTCTGGCTATGCTAATGTTGTGTCGGTGCATAGTATATATAAATACTCTTTTTTAAAAAAAATTATCCTTCCTTGAAGACTACTTCTAAAATATCCCGTAAGGGGAAATAATCCATTATCTCTTACTGGAATAATTTGTGAAAACTCTTGTTTTACCCAAGGTTAGCTTCATTTCGCAAATATTGGTTCTGGAAACAATTTATGTGCCGTCCTAGCTCCACATAAGGAAACGGTGGAAGTTATATACCACCACAAACTGAGTAGTTTAATATTTACCCACCTTCATCCTTTCCCGGACAAAGATTGGACAGGATGATGGGCTAGTATAATATTTTTTTTATAATAATTTTCTAAGCCATTCATTAGCCACATCTTGATATTTTGGAATAAATTTTATGCTCGTGTGCCTCTGTTCCGTTCTTTAAAAATCTTAGATAACCCTTATTATCATACTATTGTATCAGAATTTTGATGATTTTTTTAAACAAAATATTTATATTGTTGTCCAAAATTGTCTTAACAACCTTTTCACTTACGTCATAAATTTCCCTTCATCGTATATACTGTGTGCAAATATTTGAAATACAATTTCTTTATCATGAAATTTAAACACGTATATTTTGATACTGATTATAGTGCAAATATTTACTATTTTTAATATGAAGATAAGAAAATTCATTTTTTTTAAGCTTAAGTAAATTATAGTAATATGATTGAAGCAAATAAACAAAAATTCATATAAATTATAAGAAAAAAGGATCTTATTTAACACAATTTAAGTAGTTTTAAAAATAAAAAAGTAGTTATTTTGTTATAAAAATGTCCTTCACGGTTTGTACTATGCTTCTCGGAATTCTTGCATCTGTAAGTTCTTTAATATTGAATTCAAATATTATTAAAAAATGTGCATTATATTTTAAGGTGATGATTAACAATTATAGCGCCCAAAATACAAGTAAATTAATTTCAAGGATATTATTTTCAGTTTAAAAGCATTATATATTACAAAAAAAAATTAACTTTAAGTTGAGTCCAAAACTTATTTAAAAAATTTCCAAATTTTTAGAACTTTAAGAAAATATAATGATAAAGTTTTGAAAATTTTACAAATTCGTTTTGGCCATATATTTTATTTAATATATTAAAAATGGCTTTATTTTCTGTTTTATTATTTTCAGTAAAGTTTTAAAAGTTTTTGAGTTAAATTTTTTGATGTTTTGAACCCTGATTTTTTTTAAAACTAATTTATATTTACCTATTTATTCAACCGGCCATAATAGTTGAGCAAAATCAACCTACTCAGAATTTCGCTATCGTCAAATTACCCGCATTTTGTTATGATTCAA